CCCACAAATATCAAGTACAAAAATTCTATTAAGTTTTTAACGACAGAGTATTAAAATGAAAAATAAACTAAACATTTGGCATGATTTTTTTAAAAAAAGTTTAGACATCAAAGCATAATAAAAGTTATAGTTTAAATACTAAACATGTAGTTTACAATTTTTAACAATTTAAATGACATTTATTAATTTAAGTGAAAAGAGTGAAACCATACCAACCAATGATGAAAACACTGAAACTAGGGATGATAATTTAACCTGAGATTGATGAATTTCTGACTAATTTTTTTGGATAATTTAATTTTATTACCCAAATAGGCAGAGTTCTGCTACAAAATCAAAATCTTCCAAGGAACAAAGGAAAACCTACTTACAACAAAAGATGGTTAGCCTATACCCCAATGATTGCATAGATTAATATTAACACTATCTAATCTATTAATATTCTTTCTTCTTAATTGAATACTTACAATCTCCTTAATGGAATTCAGGATCTCATCAACGTTTTTTGAACTTCCTCGGAACAATCTTCGATTTCTTTCCTCCCACAAGGAATAAATAAGTGCACACCAAGCAAGCTTCAAGATAGTAGTTAGGAGAGACTTACCTTTCCAAGCACCACAAGCCGAAGCTAACATGTTTATCCATGACAAAGGTGGTCTGCTCAAGCTGGTGAGACTCAAAATAGCTTTCCATAGGGAAACAACCATAGAGCATTCAACGAACAGATGGTCCCTAGTTTCCAGAACTTCATTGCAGATTACACATAATCCATTAGTAATGATTCCCATACGTTGAAGCCTCTCCCTAGTTGGGAGTCTATCCATAAGTGTCATCCAAGAGATCTTTCTAAGTTTAGGAATGTGGAGGGGAAACTATATCAATTTGTGCCAAGGAACTTTGTCTCCCTTTACCCGTAACTCTTTCCAAATTTCTTTTATCTTCTTTGGTCTTGAAGATCAAACTAGAAAAGCCACTACCCTTAATTTAAATACTCTCCTGATGCACCAACTTGAATTTGCTCCTTCCACGAGCCAAAAGTCATTATCCTTAATCTTTTAAACAAATATCATATTTGGGTCAAATCATATTCAAATGAAAATTATATATATTTTAGATTGGATTAAATTGATCAAACCCTGATCCAGCCCAACTGGTTATCGTCCCTATAGGCAACCAAAGCCGGTCAAAACAGTTCTAGGAAAATGTAATTGCTCTAACGGGAGCTAAAAAACAGCAACAAAAAAATAAATCGAAGTTAAAAAGCAAATGGTAAATGCTGGAAAACCTCCAGATATTATTCCCTTCCTCTCCTCGCCTATTCCGGTGCAGAAAAGAAAAGAAGAAGAAGAAGAAACCGAAACAAATCCTGTGTAGAAATTGCTTCAAAGCGCAGGAAAATCACAGTAACGAGAATGGCATGTCTTGGATGATGATTGGAGGACGGCAATGCATCGAGATATCCGCAATGTCTGGTGTGTTGACTGGGAGATTCACTCGGGTTTAATTAGGTTACCATTTTAACTGAGGGGACCACCACAAGCAGCTTTAAAAAAGCAAAAGAAATCCGAGCCACCCACATTTCTGCTCAGGAAAATTAATGGAAGACTTAAAGCCGAGACCTGCAAGTTCGTCCCCTCTAACCCCATTAGGCTTCTTAGAAAGAGCAGCTACCGTGTACGGTGATTGCACCTCCATCCTCTACAACACCAATTCCTACACTTGGTCCCAAACCCACCGTCGCTGTCTCCAGTTAGCTTCTTCCCTCTCATCTACCGGCATCAAATCGGGCCATGTCGTTTCCGTTTTGGCCCCTAACATCCCATCCATGTACGAGCTTCATTTCGCCGTTCCCATGGCGGGTGCTGTCCTCAACAGCATCAACACCCGCCTCGACGCCCGTACCATCTCCGTTATGTTACGTCACTGTGAACCTAAGCTCCTCTTTGTCGATACCCTTTCTCAGTCTCTAGCCTTGGAAGCCATATCTTTGTTCCCCCCTAACGAGAACCACCCTCTTCTGGTCTTGATCGAAGATGATTACGAAGGTGATGGTGCGAGTTCCAGTGTTGATTCCCGCTTTTGTTGCACGTACGAGAGCCTGGTGGAGAAAGGTGACCCCGGTTTCAACTGGGTTCGACCCAAAAGTGAATGGGATCCGATTGTTTTGAACTATACATCGGGCACCACCTCGTCTCCCAAAGGAGTGGTTCATTGCCACCGGGGAATTTTCACCATCACACTTGATTCTTTAATCGATTGGGAAGTCCCAAAACAACCTGTTTACTTATGGACACTCCCCATGTTTCACTCCAACGGGTGGAGTTTCACTTGGGGAATGGCTGCCGTCGGTGGAATCAATATTTGTGTCCGGAAAGTCGACGCCCCTATCATCTATGGTTTGATTAGAAAGCATGGCGTCAATCATATGTGTGGAGCCCCCGTGATACTCAACATGTTATCAAATTCTCCTGAAGCTAAACCACTAGCGAACCCAGTAAAAATCATCACTGCCGGAGCTCCACCTCCGGCGCCGGTTCTTTTGAGAACCGAGTTACTCGGGTTTGTAGTGAGTCATGGGTACGGGTTAACCGAAACAGGTGGGCTGGTTGTGTCTTGTGCTTGGAAAAGGGAATGGAACAAGTTTCCAGCAACGGAGAGAGCGAGGCTGAAAGCGAGACAGGGAGTGAGAACTCTGGGTATGACGGTAGCGGACGTGGTGGATCTCGAGTCAGGACTGAGTGTTAAACGCGACGGGTCAACTCTTGGGGAGATCGTTCTGAGAGGTGCTTGTGTTATGTTGGGGTATCTAAAGGACCCAAAGGGTACATCCAAGTGCTTGACGGAAAACGGTTGGTTTTACACCGGAGATGTTGGGGTGATCCACCCCGATGGATATTTGGAAATCAAAGATCGTTCCAAGGATGTTATAATCAGCGGTGGGGAGAATCTGAGCAGCGTTGAAGTTGAGTCCATTTTGTACACTCACCCGGCCATCAATGAAGCGGCGGTGGTGGCCAGGCCAGATGAGTATTGGGGAGAGACTCCCTGCGCTTTCGTGAGCTTGAAAGGTGAGTTAACTCGTAAACCGAGTGAGATTGAGATAATGGAGTATTGCAGAGCCAAGTTGCCACACTACATGGTACCCAAAACGGTGGTGTTCAAGGAAGAATTGCCCAAGACTTCAACGGGGAAGATTCAGAAGATGGTTCTGAGAGAAATTGCAAAGGGAATGGGTTCATCTTCCTTCACTCGGGTGAGTAGAATGTGAACCGAGTCGAACCGAGTTGTTAGGTAGCCCTTGTCGTTTTTCATGAATGTCTGGATTAGCCAGGTCATTATGGTTTCAAAGAAGACAGGTCAATTTTATGAATTAAAAAAGTGGATAAAAAAGGCAATAATTTATGTATCGTTGTGAGCAATTAATATGATTGGCTAAAAGTATCATAGGAAATAGTTAGTGAATGATCATGTGAACGCTTGCTGTATTTGGAATTGGGATTTGGAAACGGAATCTTCCACCCTATTTGGTATGTTTATGATCTCTCCAACGATATAAAAGAGAAAAGTATTTTGATATTGATTTAAAATTTAGATTCTATTTTGGTATTCGTCTTTAAAAATTTAACGATGATATTAAAATATTATCATAAGATAATATCGTATCATTATTAATAGAAAATAGCTTCATCCCAGGGTACATTGCCTCCTAATTTTTTATCATTAAAAATATTAGGAATAAATACCTTTTTGACCTTTAAATTTTTGTTTATTTTGATTATATCTTTCTCATTTTTCTATTGTTGATTATATTTTACTCCTCTTGAACTGATAATTGGTTTCTTTCCTGATTATTAAAAAAAATAAAAAATATCACGTTAGCACTTCTATTAATTTTTAACAGTGATATATCAAATTAAATCATAAACTAAACATCATGTATGTTTTTTTAAATAAAATAATAAAATAAAATAATAATAATAATTTAAATATAAAACATATAATTTACCAAAAAATATGTAACGCATAAATCATCATCATACTCTTTTTTTGGGACTAAAATCGCCTTACTAAATTTTATCATTTTAAAAGCGACAATATAATAATCTTTTTGACAGAGAGAGCCTCTTATAAAGAGAATAAGATATAAATCATTATTGATGCAGCTGCCATGACGAGCTATAAATAAAGATCAGTACAAGACATTATCATTAAAAAATGATTTGTATCGTTCTCTCTCTCTCTTATCGTTTCATTAATTTTACAACCCAAGGGTGGGTGTCAATATTATCGCGCATCGTTAACTCCCCCCCGACCTCTCCCATCTCATTTACCTTTCCCTTTTTATTGTTCCTCCCCATTTTTTGGTCATTTCATGGAGGTTTCTTAGTCTTCTCCAACATCTTTTGGATCATTCTCGAGGGTCAACTGGTGTTGGGTCAAAGTCTTCTTCCTTTGTCGATAAAAGTTTTAGATGAGTCCAAAGTGTTAATTTTTTCTACGATCATAGACCTTGTTTGTGTTTGTAACGATGGGATAAATTATATCCGTTTGACTATCTAATTACAAAAAGATTTTAATATGATAATTGATATTTTAATTTTTACTCTTAGATTGTTTAATTTTTTAAATGATATTATTAAAATTATTTGTTATTGATATTTGATTGATGAATTGACAGTTAACAAAATTAATATAATTACATATCCAACACTTTTTTCTTAAAATATGAAAGGCATAATATCAAAATTAGTCTCCAAAGTTTATTAAAATTATCTTTTTTGGCCTTTATTCTTTTTTTTATATATTTTAGCCCTCAAAGTTTTATTTTATGACAAAAAGTCTCGTAACGTTTGATTGAGTAGTCACTTTGATCATTTTTTTCCCATAGAGAATTTAGTTCTCGACGTTTCATTTTAGGATAAAAGACTCATATTTTGAAGTGGTAATCATTTGTTAACTAAAGATTTCCATTCATAGAGAGGTTTTTTTTTTATCCAAAATAAGACGTAGATGACAAAATGATCTAAAAAACAACGAATAGAGGTTAAAGTAAATATTTAATAAAATGTCAAAACAATTTTTATTTATTTTTACATTGTGCCAATAAGAAAACCAATCTCAGCATGGTTAATAATCCCATTCTTAGCACTCATACGAAGCAACGAATTAAAATAAAAATCATTTTCAAATCCAAGCTTAATTGCAAGACCATGAACTTGTTCACCGAGTACAACATTACATGATAGTCTATAACTATCTTGGTAGGCGTAGCAACCAGATTCACCCATACTCTCCCTTGCACAAACAGTCAAAATAGCAGACAAGGAAACAGAATCAATACGAGCCCCTTTTCGACACATCATTCTAAACATCTCCAAAGCCTCAAAGACCCCATCAATACTTCCTAACCCATCCATCATTGAAGTAAAAGTAACGTCATTACGATCATCAATGTCCCAAAAGGTTTGAACGCCTCTCATAACCCCACATTTAGCATAAACAGACAGTAACCGTTACAGACAAAGATATTCGTATCAAGACCGATCTTAATAACAAGACTGTGGCATCTCTTCCTGTTGACGAAAACGGGTAAAGAAAACGAAAGAACACGAGAATTTTACGAGGTTCGGCAATGTGCTTACGTCCTCGGTGCCTAGGCGGCGCTAGAAGTTTTATTCAATGATCTTTTTAGGTCTAGGTTACATCTCTATTTATAATAGAAAACCCTGGTACATAATTACAAAATCAACCCTGTACCGTACCGCGGGGGCTGCGCCCCCACACCCCCAACCCACATAATTCGTAACCCCACAACGAGACTTTTTATGAGCCATACATAACAAATCTCCACCTTGGCGAATATCCTGCCCCTTGGAAACTTCAATGTGGGTTGGGTTACCTTGCTTCTTTAACAACTCGAAACATTCAACAAGTCCAAGCAATGCTTGAACTTGTCTGTCGTAACTGGCTTGGTGAACATATCAGCGGCATTCTCATCAGTATGTACCTTCTGAAACAAAACCTCTCCAGATGCAACCAACTCTCTGATCTTGTGGAACCTTACATCAATATGTTTAGTTCTAGCACGATACACCTGATTCTTAGCCAAGTGAATAGCACTTTGATTATCACAAAGCAACTGAACTCCACCTTGTTGAACACCCAACTCCTTCACTAAACCAGTAAGCCATAAAGCTTCTTTTGCAGCTTCAGCCGCTGCCATGTATTCAGCTTCAGTTGTAGATAGTGCCACGACAGATTGAACAGTAGACTTCCAGCAAATAGGCCCTCCACCAAGAGTAAACACATACCCTGTCGTAGATCTTCTATTATCCAAGTCACCTGCATAATCTGAATCCACATATCCTACAACCAAAGGATTATCCCGCTGACTCCCAAAAACAATTCCATGTCCCACAGTACCCTTTAAGTACCGAAAGATCCACTTGACTGCATCCCAATGTTGCTTACCAGGTTTAGACATGTACTTACAAACTTGACTAACAACATGAGCTAAATCAGGACGAGTACATACCATCGCATACATCAAGCAGCCAACAGCATTAGAATACGGAACCTTTGCCATATTTTCAGCTTCCTTATCTGTCTTAGGGCACTGTTCTGATGAGAGCTTAAAGTGATTCGCCAATGGAGTGCTAACTGGTTTCGCGCTGCTCATCGCAAACCTTTCTAGCATTTTCTCAACATAACCCCGTTGAGATAGCCGCAGTTTCCTTGAGTCTCTGTCCCTGCAAATTTCCATTCCAAGAATTTTCTTTGCAGCACCTAAATCTTTCATATCAAATTCCTGACTCAATAAAGTTTTCAAACCGATAACATCATCCATGTTCTTCGCAGCAATCAACATATCATCAACATACAGTAATAGAAAAATAAAAGAACCATCATCAAGGCTCTTAACATAGACACAACAATCATACTCACATCGGTTGTAGCCAATCTTGATCATATAGGAGTCAAACCGTTTATACCACTGTCTCGGAGACTGTTTTAACCCGTACAAAGATTTCTTCAATCTGCAAACTAAATGCTCGTTTCCAGGTTGAGTGAAACCTTCAGGTTGCCGCATGTAGATCTGCTCATCTAAATCACCATGCAAAAAAGCAGTTTTAACATCCATCTGCTCTAAATGCAAATCCCAACTAGCCACCAATGCAAGTACTGCTCGGATTGAAGTGTGCCTGACCACAGGAGAAAAGATTTCATCATAATCAACTCCTTTCTGCTGTGAAAAACCCTTCGCTACCAAACGAGCCTTGAACTTCTCCCCCTCTTTTTCTGTTACTGCTGGTTTCTTCTTATACACCCATTTGCAACCAATCGGCTTCTTACCCTCAGGAAGGGGAACTAACTCCCATGTGCGATTGTGATTCAAAGACTCCATCTCCTCAACCATGGCTGCCATCCACTTGTCGTTTTCCTGACTAGTAACGGCATCATGAAAAGTAACTGGATCATCACTGCTAACAGTAAGTGCAAAAGATACCAAGTCTTCAAAACCCAATCTGTTCGGAGGCTTTATATTCGTCCGTCTCACCCTGTCTCTGGCGAGACTATAATCCTGCAAATCATCCGTAGTGGAACCACCAGAAGTCGGTTGAGAAGTTTCTGGTTTCTCAACTGGAAACTGCTCGAAATCTACCACTGTCGTGTCTTGCTTCTGCTGCAACATAGACTGTTCATCAAAAACGACATCTCTACTAATCACAACTTTCTTCGCAACTGGATCCCAGAACTTGAATCCTTTGACACATTTCTTGTAACCCAGAAAAATGCACTCCTTCGATTTTGCATCAAGTTTGGATCTCTCATCAGCAGGTACATGCACATAAGCAGGACAACCAAAAATCCGTAAGTTATCAAAACTAACATCATGACCAGTCCATACCTCTTCTGCAACTTTCCCAGCCAGCGATGCCCTTGGCGATCTGTTGATAAGGTAACACGCCATGTTAACAGCCTCAGCCCAGAAGTGTTTGGGAAGCCCCACATTCAAACGCAAACATCTGGCTCTTTCATTCAACGACCTGTTCATTCGTTCCGCAACACCATTCTGTTGTGGTGTCTTGCGCACTGTAAAATGCCTCTGAATCCCATGCTCCTTACATAATTGTAGGAACTGTGAATCTGTGTACTCCGTACCATTGTCAGACCGCAAACACTTGATTTTTCGTCCTGTTTGGTTTTCTACCTCAGCTTTCCACAGCTTGAACTTCTCAAAAACTTCAGATTTCTGTTTCAAAAAATACACCCAAACTTTCTGTGAAAAATCATCAATAAAAGTAACATAGTACCTAGATCCACCCAAAGACGATGTCGTGGAAG